AATCAGCTTAATGAACCAGCAGCTCAACTCAGATTCACTTGTGCTGCTAAGTATTTAAAATTCAGCAGCCACAGCCTGCTGCCTCCTCTGTTTCACTGCCAGCTAAGAATGGAAATGAAAGGACAGTGCTGTCCTGTGAAGGAATCAAGACAAAAAGTGTTACATGGAGCCACTGCAAATGGAAATTTCTTTTGTTTTTTGTTTGGGTGTTTTTTTCCTGAGAATTATCAGTCTAGATGGTAAATTAATATATCCCCATATATAATCTTGGAAAACTGTTTTAGCAACAGCTTTATATATTAGCAATTTTTTTTTGGCTTGATGTGGTACAGGATGAAAGAATATTGAAATGTGATTCCTAGGAAAAGGTAAATTACAAAAGTGGTTTAATTTTCATGGCCAGTAACTCTGACCAGTTTCAGCAACTTCAAATGCAAAAATAAAGTTTGTGAGCAGGCTGCTGACTCTATCCTTTGGGCCCTCCACAGGGGAGGGTGACTCTTACTGTCCCCCTGAAGCATTGGCACATCCCTGAAATTCCTAGCAGCATCATTTGTGGGCAGGTGGCTCCAAAGGTTCATGGGAGCAGCAGCTGTTTGGTTTTTTTTTCTGGAAAAAGATTGATAATAAAAAGGGAGGCTTTGGCAGGAATCACTGGGCTGTGAGCATCCTTCCTCCCAGAAACCACCAGATGCATCCTGACAGGTCAGGCATGAAATGTAGGTGACAGAACTCATTGTGGGTGTCACCCTGGGAATGTAGGAAATGTAGGAGGGCAGCCACCCTTCTTCCCTTGGGAGTACACGGATGACAATGCAGCACTTTATCCTTTATCCTTTCCTGTTATGTAACAGTGGAGGGCTGGTTTGGATCAGAATGCCCAAGTAGGTGGGTGGAGAACTTAATGCCGTGTAAAATAAGAGCTATATTTAAAAGATACAATTTCAAACACCCAGAGAAACGAATGAAGGGAGCAACTTTATTTTTGTATGTCTGTGCCCAACTTGATACCAGCCAGTGCTGACTTGGGCCAAAGGTGTGGGCTCTGCTGTTCCAGCAGCACTTCCTCGGGGCTCTTGGATCCAACCTGTGATTTGTAGCTCAATCCCAGCTGAAGCTGCTCAAATAAAGGCACAGAACTGAATTCTGGTGTGCTGTCACTGTCACAGGGGGAAGGCAACTGGAGATAGACCCACTCTGCTCAAAACTGAGACTAGTGCTATTTAGTTCTGTTAGGATCCATGTAAAGCCATACCATAATATGAAATATGTTTCTGTGTATTAATGCAAATTTTCACCATGCATTCATACATTCTTATGAATATTCTTATTCGTATGCATATTCCATTTTGCAAATGTTAGACCTCATGATTACTCGATATAGGGATAACAAAGTTATCCTCTTCATTTGCTCTTGTTTTGTCTTCAGAAAGGAAATGTCAGGATGTTGGATTTTTCCAAAACTGGACAGGGGTGATCAATGGAAAACATAGAATCATTGAATCATTGAATGGTTTGGGTTGGAAGAGACCTCAAAGATCATCTAGTTCCAAACCCAAAGGACAAAATCTTGTGTGAGGCAGCGACACAGGAACTGATCTGCTAGACTTTTTTCTGTCTTTTTAATTTTTTTTTCTAAAATTCTTTTTTTGTGTTATGGAAAAAAGGAACAGCTATTTAGTTTCTTAAAAGGAAAATGCCACATTTTGTTCGTATTGTTACCAGAACCAGTAGAGTTTGTAGCCAATGTTGAAGATTGTTTCTTCTCTAAAATCCTGTGTACATACTGAATTGTTTCAGCTTCATTATAGAAGGATCTAGACTTATCTTGTTTTCTCTGCTTAATTGTTTTACATGCTTTCTCCAAAATGAACTGCTATCAGCCATGAGATAGAGGTGTATCTTTTCTCTTCATTGGATTCCTTCTACTGCAGTAGAACAGGGCAGCTACTGCATGTACAGATAACAATATATTTACACCAATGCTGCCTGTTTAGCTGGCAGTTAAGTAGGACTAAAGTTAATACAAAGGTCTGTTACTCCTGAACTGATTTTGGTCTGGGGATTTATTACAGGTTTTCATTCTTTTATGTTTCAGAGTTTTATAAAAACCCTTGCAGGGTTTAGGGTGTTGAGCTGTATCACAGCAGCCAAAAGTCTTTTGGTTTAATAACCACAGAAAGTATTTAATGTTTCCTGTGTGACTATGCCTTCAATCTCAGTATTGTACAAATGTAAATAACATAGATACCACAATAACGCTAGGAGTTAGGCTTTTAAAAGATTGAAAAGCTTAACTACATAAATTTAATCAAGTACCCTGCAAAATAATTATATTTTTCCCTCTACCTCTGTGCAGAAACTGAGTCACAGACAAATTGAATCTCAGATGTATTAGGGTGTGCCTCAAAGCAAGTACTTTTTGTTTCAAGGGCCTAGTTGAAGCAAACAGTTCTAAGGCTCAGTTTCAGGAGTCACAGATGCTCTTCATCCATAAAAACTCATGTCAAGTGTCCAAGGCTGGCATCCAAAAGGAGATTCACCACTAGTGAATGTTCTTATGAAATGGAAGCCACGGTGTCTGTCCTGCCTGGGCTGTTACATGGCTGCAGTGAGGTGGCAATAGTTTTCTCAGGAGGTTGGAGATGTTACTTTCCTGGTCTCCTTTGATCCGCAGCTCCCTGTGTCCTGTAGGTGTCCTCTGCACTTGGCAGGCTGGCCTTGTTCGACCGCTGAATGTGTGGTTTCCTTATGTCTGGTAAAAGCTCTTTTGGCAGAGCCTCTTGGTTACTGGAAGTGGTTCTTGTGGACTTGCTGAATACATTAGCACACAGTGAACACATCCCGGCAGCGAGACTTTGAGATCTAATGGTGTTTTTCTCCCTTTTAGTGGTTTTACATTTGCATCGATTACAGCTCCCATCCACCAGTCTGAGCACTCAGGGAAAGTTTGTACATCCTTAAAAACACAGAAGAGCATCTTCCCCAGAACTGTTTATCTAAATTTGTCTGTAAGCAAAAAACTGAACAGGCAAGTTTGGTGTCCTTTTATTCCTTCAGGAGGTGGAACACACTCTTCGGTTCCCACTAAAATCAGAAGCTGAGGACATTCAAAATGCCAGGGTGGTTATTCTTGCCTCTCCCCATGGCATGTCACATCAGCCAACATTTGTATCTGCCTACAACACCCAGTCTGCACTGTGTTATTGCTGCTCAACTGCCAGAGCTGCAGAGCTTGTTATGAAATGAAATGGAAGTCCTTGGAGGGCAGCTGCAATTTTGGAAAAGGACCAAAAAGAGGGACTGAGTGTTGGGTCCTTTTTGACTCCAACAAAGCTAAAATTTATCAGTGAGAATTAGGATTTTCTTTGAAAGAAACAAATACAGTACTGTGCACCACTAAACCCACTACTAATAAAAAACATCAGGGCCTAATTATTTTGCAGGTTTCTTGTTGAGTGACTCTACTATCATTAAGTCTCTTATTGTGTAAAAGCCATCAAGGAAGGTTGTTTTCAAAGAAGAATAATAGCTAAAGAACAGTTACCTGTATACCATGTTAATTCCTTCAACCATAAGATATGCTAACTCTTCCCCAGATATGTCAGGAGTAATAGTTTCTTCAAGTAATAGATCCCCCCCTGCCTTGTTGGATTTCCAGTCTTCCAACTCTCAGCATCTTAGTAATTGCTGAGTTTTATTCTCACTTTCCATCAACACAAAGTTTTCTTTGAAAATGCTGCCTGTGAGGTAAAATGTGACAAAGTGAGCTGTACTAATGCACTTTACCCCGGGTTCAAAGGAAGGACTGGTGGGGGCTCAGTTACACCAATGCAAAGCTCTTGAATGGGAAAAAAAATCTCTGGTGCAATAATCTCTGGTGGAGCCCTGAAAGCTCAATCTGAGAAGAGGAGCCTTACTTACCATGAAGATGCATCACTTTGTGTGTTTGTGTTCCCAAACACTCATTTGAGTGGCTTGGGATTTTGTGCTTCTTAAATGCTGTCTTATCTGCTCCCTTTCAATGAAATTGAGTCCCTGCTGGACTAACTGATCATCTGCACAAGTCTCTGGAAGGACAAGAAGTGAACCAAATTCAGAGATCTTGCAGCCCACTTAAAAATATGTATCCCTGCTCAGCATTATAGCTTTTATGGATCTAAGTCTGTCCCGATTTATGCTGCCAACAGAGAGTCTCCCTCTGTTTGCTGACTTACATATAGATATAACAAGAAAAACGGATGCTGGCTCCTGAATTTTCTAACTGGTTGTGGGTGTCTGCTGGTTCTTAAATGGGTAATAAACACAGCTTAAATCTGTTTGATCACAATTCAGAACTGCCCTAGGAACGTGACCAAAAATACAGCTGGGGTAGATACACATGTCAAATAAAAACAGGATGTTCACAGGAGAAATTATCTGCTGCTGACACTGATTTTCAGCAAAAGATATGATTAATCTTTCTCCTCAAAGACTACTGAACACAATTCTAGTTTGTACAAAGGCATTGCCAAGAGCGTCAGAAAGCAAATTGAGGCTCATGGGAAATATGCCCTGTTCCTTTTTGCCTCTGCTCCTAATTGTATTCTATCTGCTGGATGAGATACTGTTAAAATAATGAAAAAGAAGAAAAAGCAACTATTAAAGCTCTTGAACCATTTGTAATCCTGAGACTCACAGGAGTATTAAAATGATAACAATAAAGTAATACCCGTGCTGAGCATCATTTTAGAAATAAGCAATCAGACAAGAGGTTAATACAACAAAACCTCCAGCACTCCCATCTTCCCACCACACCTCCCTGTAATGGATCAGACAGTTCATCCAGTTTAAAACAGTTTTCATGGCAAGGCAGAGCAATTCCCTTTCATAAACAAGGAGGTGAGATCCATCCTGTTAGTTTAGGAAAATATGATGAAAACACACAGGTTCACTGTAAAGCTGAGATTTCCACCTGCTCTTCCTCTGAACTGATGTTGGGTCCTTATTCTTGTTCACAGCCTCCGGCCTCTCCTCTTCTCCATCTACCCCAACACAAGTGACCAAGCAGCCCACGTTTCCTCTTGAATCCTATAAGCATGAGCCTGAGAGACTAGAAACACGGATTCACTGTTCTTCACCTCCGGACACAGGGCAGAGATTCTCTTTGCCTCCAGCTCAAAGCGCAGCCAAGCCTCCCATCATGACACCAGCTCCCTGTGCTACCTCAAAACCAGTAAGTAAAGCATGTGTCCGGTTTTCCAGTGGGAAGTGTACAGGATTGTGTGTTAACTGTGTCTTGTATTACGACTGATGGGCTACAGTGTGTGTGTCCATCCTGTGGAACAGCACAAGGACAGCGTCGTGGGCCTTTTATTCCAGCTTTCCCAGAATATGGCTCAGCGGGCGCTAGGAATCCAAAGGCGGTAGCTCCCTTCTGATTTACCCAAGCAGTAATTAATGTTTGCACCAGTCTCAAAGTGAGTTTTGCAATGGCTACAGATCCCATCATACACTGTTGAGATGCCACCTTGGAGACAGGAAAGATTTTATTTAGTATTGTCTTTTATGTCCCTCAGGAAGAACTGATGAGAGACTTAGCAGCCAAGGAGAACATATCAAAAAGAAATTCACAGTGTGAGCTGCAGGGGTTTTGAATTCCTGCTGCCTCTGGGGTCTGAGATGACTGGGACAGCTGGTGACTAATGGCACTAGTTGCTATCACACCTCCTGCCCCAGCTCAGAGAGTAGAGGAAGAAGAGCAGCACTACCAGGGCATTTATCCAGCCCCCACATAGTAGAGGTGTCTTCATAAGAACAGTTTCTTCAGTTCCTGGGAATGCATAATTCAGCATTTCCTGGGAACGCATGAATCCCAGCCTCTGGTTTTTCCACCACAAGATCCGCACTGCAGGCCACTGTGCCTCCTCCCCTCTCCCTTGGTCAGCCTGAGCCTCAGAGGCATCACTCTCCTCCTTTTCTTTCTTTCTCCTCTTCCTTTTTGCCCCTTCTTTCTTTTTTGTGTTAATTCCTTTGCATTAACCATATCTTTCTGTTCCCCTGCCTCATGGAACCAGAAGACTTGACCAGAATTAACTACCCTGCATCTATCTTGCCCCTCTCTTCTTCTTTTTTTCCCCCTCAAAATATAAAATCTTTGACATTTTCTGTATCTAGAAATCTAGGAATGTAAAGGGCACAAAGTTCTCGAGATCAGTTTCTCTGTTGAACAACTGCAGGTTCTGTTTCGTTCCAGTTCTCGGTAGTTTATTTAAAAGCAGGAAGTTTCCTCCCACTCACCCATGGGAAAGCTGTTCCAGGATCTGAACACAGTAACACAGCAATCCCAAAACCTTTTTGCTTTTGTGTTAGGTACCTCCACAGCAGCAGCAGCTCTCGTGATGCCAAAAGCATTTGGGTCCTGGGTCGGTGTTCACGGACTACTTTTAAGTCATTGACACACATCCCGTAAAACACGTGCCCTGTTTGGGGGCCCCTTCTGTAAAGGTTAGGAAGACTCTGATTTTCAACCTGATTTTTTTCATGGACAGGTTATAACCATTAATTATAATTAACGGCCGTTTTCATTCATTGTTTGTTACATCCTGTTGCACCTGTAGCCAACCTTTGTTTTTCCTAGATTAAACAAACAATACAAATTACAGACTTTGTGTTCTGCTGCTATTCATTAAAGTATTAAATAAAATATTCTTACAGTTAGGGAACTCCAGCAGTAAATTTTCTTTAGCCAACTCAATGCCTTTCCATGTCAGTATAGTCTTGGGATACATAAATAATGAAACCCAAAGGTTTGTAGGACACAAAAATATTTTGAGTAGGTTGTAGTCAATCGGTCATATTATTTGCATATGAATGTGTTTATCTGTGTTATGCAGCTACAGAGGAGCCTTTTGTACCTGTTAGAATAGAAGTAAGGAAACAACATAATCTTAGCACATTCCACTGACCAAAAGACTGAAAAGTTTATTTTGTTTTTAATTATTTGCTGATTCAGACAATATGAAGTTGAGTAGAAGATGCCAGAATAATGAAACAGAATTCTCAGCAAGTTTTTATGAACAGTTGTGGTTGTATATACGTACAAGAGAAAGTCTTGGTGGAAACTCAGTATGTTGGACTCAATTCTCTCCTGTTCAGAAGATACAGAAATACATGAGATGTGTAGCACCTGATTGTCTGGTACTCTCTGTACTCATTTATATCTGAGAACAGTGAGTGTGCAAGGCTGTGAATCATTAGGTTTCTGGTTTATTTGGTAATAAACGTCAGCAGCCACAGTTCGGTGAGGAACAAAGCTCTGGATGTTTAATTTTCAACAGAGACTGGAGAGAGAGAGATTAGATTTGCCATGTTCTTCTAGTAGGAGAAACTGTTAGGGGGAAAGGGTAAGTTCCTGCAGAAGGGCACAAACCAGAATCTGATGGACTGATTGTTTCTTTCAATCTCTGCAAGTTACTGACCCAGCATTCATTTACAAATGCAACAGCAGTAGACTGACATCCTTTATTTGAGTACCGTGTCTCAAACATTTCATTTATTTTGAGCTATGTGATAATAAATACATGATTTCACAATCACATGCCATCAACAAATCTGTAAAAGGCAAACTCGATTTCTTGTTTACTTACATCACCTTTTGCTGGCATAAAAAATTGAATTATCTTAAAAGCACACCATAAATTAAATGAGAAATGGTTTCATGGGTTCATGGCCATGCAGTTAGATGGCCAGTTTAATGATAGGGAAGCTTCTATGTTGGCATCTGAAATGAGAAGTTGACTCTTATCTACAGGGCTCTGTCAACTTAAATCTCATTTGCTTATTACATTGTTTAACTGGCGATAATGTGTGAGATCCCAGAACTATTACAAATGATTCATGATTACTATATATATTGCAGTAGAAAAGAAGAACCCTTGGACCCAGGCTGGGAATTATTATTTTAAAAAAACCAGAAGAGCAGGAAGGTGCAGTATCAGGACTTGGAACAATTCCATTTGAAGCTGATTCTGTACTTGTTTTTTATATGTCTGAAACTCTGGTGCAGAACGGTTGAATCTATCCAGTAAGAGAGAAGGCTTGGAGGAAAGAATAAAAATATTTATTTCCCAGCAATATTTATTTCCTTTCATGCTTTAGTAGCACTTACAACAGTGTATATTTTGATATGATTTTTAAGCCTTCGATTCTGGTGAAGGGTATAAATAACGGGAAAGAGTTCCTGAGAGAGGGAGATCCTCCTTCAGCGAGTATCATCTCAACACAGTATTCAAAGCTAAGCAATTAACCTCATGCTAAATGGGTGTCTGTGATTATGACCGAGGTCTGGATTTATCCCACCTAACTTTAGAAACCTACCTGAGCCGCTTAAGCGGGGAGTACAGTGGCTGTAGTTGTCTCTGTATCCCCCAGAGAGGCATTTTCAGGGGATGAATCAGATCTCCGGGGGTCTGAGCAGCCTCTTGCACTGATTGCAAAGGGAGTGGCTCCGGGTGCTGCATTTCTGAGCGAGGCACTTCTGAGAGGTGCCCAAAGCGAGATGTGATGGGGCTGTGACACACCATTGCAGCAGCTCCTACAGGCTTTCCCCTGGCTGTGCAGGTGTTCCTAACCGTGGAGTTAGAAGGTTATAATGAGAAATTCAGCTGATAAGAGATCAAAGCTGTACCTTAAAGATTACCGTGCGCTGCGTTACACGGGGAAGGAGCGACTTGATTTTTCACAATGCACTTCATGACTCATGTACTTTGGCCTTGTGTTGTTAGGATGGTGTAACCTCTAGGCAGTAAGTGGTAAACGATAACTCTTCTCTAATGTGACATTACGGACCGTGAAAGGAATGTAGAGAGGCTGCATGTTCAGTAACGAGCGTGTTTGCCCTGTTTCCTCTTTGCCCGTGTTTTGAAGTGGAATGTGGTGTGTTGAGCTTTAATGTGGTTGTTTCCTTTTCATTCCATCCTTTCTTCTTCCACTGATGTATAAGACATTGTGAAAATATCACTGTTCCCTGTGTCCTGCAAACACAAGCGTTTCTGTGGTACATCATTTCCTGGCCTTTATGGGTTTCCCCTTTCCCAACATGAAAGGAGTCCAGGCCAGAAGGTGCTTGCTCCAGACTGGAGAGTTGCCTTTGAGGTCTCTTTTGGTTGAAAACAAAGCCGGGGCTTTCTCTGCTCACAAGAAGTGACAAAGGCAGAACATGCCTACAAATGGTACTTTCCCTATGATTGTGTGATTTGGAGAACCACTGTTCTCCAAATAACCTCTAAGCCAAGTAATTGCCCAGAACGTTCTTAAAAAGAGGAAATCTCAGACAAATGGTAGACTGAGACTTACTCTTACCTTGTCTGAGCAAGTCCTGTTAAAACTGCAGACAGAGCACACGTGAGGCACTGAAAGAGACTGGTCTGTGTTCGTTTTACACAGTCCCTTCTGCTCTAGTATATGGGAGGGGAGAGACATAATGTACAGCTGGGACTCTTCCAGTCCTAGATACAAGAGGAAAGCCAGATTGTTCCTGCAGTTACTTGCTTGTTAAACAGTAGTACTTCCCTGCAAGGTTATTCATGCTGTGTCTTAGCCAAAATGTAGTAAACTCCAAAACAGGGCTGTTAACTTGTTCAGCGTGAAAGGCTCTTACATCACACCCCGTGCTGGCAAGGAGCCTGGGAACCAGGATATGTGCAGCAGGTCCTTGGGTTTGGCTCTCTCAAAAAAAGCCACACCACCTATCAGAGCTCTGTAACCTGCCAGCTGGTTATAGAGATTTAAATCTGATGAAGAGAACAGAAAAAGTGTTCTTTGATTCCGATGTTGTCACGAAAAAAGGCACAGGCTGAGAAAAAAGGAATCCAGTCTGCAAGTGCACCAGAACTCCTTATTTCAGCATTTGTGTGGTTTAAGGCAATGTATGAGAGTGCCAAGGCACTACTGTGATTCAGCTTTGATTTGCACCACAGTAAACTGATCACCAAAATTAGAGCCTGAAAGGCCGTCATTTACCAGTGACGAAATCTCTGGCAGTGCTGGTGTGTCCAAGCTCCTTTTAAGTGCCTTAATAGCAGCACTCCTGGGAGGTGATTGTGTTCTCTAATAGATCCCAGGGGCTGTAACAAGCCTTGTTTAAGCATTTCTCCCTACGGGAACTGTTGTTATCCACGTGAAACTGTGTTCAATTTTAAAATGCTATATATTTGTCCAGCAGTTGGCATATAA